CTAAAAGAATTTTGGTTAAACCATATAAAAACATGGGCTAGAATAATAAAAATAGAAATATATTAAATATAAAAACTAAGTGTAAAATTAATAGGAATACCTGTAAAGTACGATATAATTCTGATAAAATGTTTGAAATGTTATTTGATTAAAATGGTAGAGAAGTACAAAAACATAAACCAAATACAACAGGCTAAAAAATAAAGTGTGAGAGTATTCACTGTATTGTTTTCAGAATGCCTGATGTGTTGTATGACTCAGTGGGATACAACGGAGTGGGGGAGGGAGAGGAAGTACATCTTAAAATGGGGGCCTTCTATTTAGTTAGTAATGGCTGCCAAATATCATTGATGACAACATGAGTGTTTAGGTTCATTCTGTGTATTTTATTTTAATAATTTCTTTGTTCAAAAAATTTCTTGTAATAATAATCTTTCTTTTTTAAGAATTTTGATGCTGTCGAGTGAGATCTCACAGCCTGCTTGATTGCACTGCTGAGTTGACGTGATCATACTTCACAGCTCATATGCTCTTTTATATGTGTTTTTAACAAGGGTTTTTAGTATTAAAAACCCATATAAACTTGTATTTTCTAGTTTTTAACTAAATATTTTAGTTCTGTATTTTTTATTAACTACAGTCAAACCCTGTTAATACAAAGTCAAATGGACTTAAAAATTGGCACTTTTTAACATTGAAATGCCTAGTCTCTCTCATCCACAGGACTGCAAATCTACTTGAAATTAATGTGGACTTTGCTTAAACCAATATTATAATGGGGTTTGACTACATGTGTTTTCATAAATACTTTTTTACTTTTAAAATATGATATGATACATAAAAATTCATGTAATTTATGCTATAATATTAATATAAAGAAATTTAATTTATTGTATGCTGATATTTCAGTCTAAATGAATATATTATGAAGGACTACAAGTAAAAATTTAGTCTTAAAGAGTGATGGAGGATAAATTAAATTAGTGAAGAAAAATTATTTTCACTTAACTTATTTGTATTTCTAAATGAGTTTATTACATGCTCTAATAATTTAAATCACAAAACAATGGAAATAGAGGACATTTTCTGTAGAATAATATAAATATTTTAAAATTTGATTGAAAAATTAAACATTTATAAACCACTCTGTTAAATATAAATTTCAGGAAAAATGTTAAAATTAGCTGAGGAAAAATCAAATTTTCTCATTTGTTGTTTTAAAGAAGAAAATTTACATATACTGTATGAACATCTACAAACCTGATGTACAAACATAATAAGCCAATAACTACTGGATTATATTGGGCTATTATATCACGATTATTTAAAATAAATTACCAAGTTATTTAGTAATTAATTTTAAATAATTGCAATATAATAGCCCAATATAATCCGATAGTTGTTGGCTTATGAGAAAATGTACAAATAAAAACAAGTAATTTGTGTTGTTAATAATAAAATGTTGAATTTACTATAATACAGATTTATTTTTAATAACAATTTTGATAAACAATTAAAGACAATTTATATTGGGTTAACTTTAAGTTCAAACATTAGAGCCAAAAATGTTTTCTGGTCTACAAGGAATATTTTCAAACTTCCCTGTTCAGCATAAATCATTATGATTCTGATTGTAAGGTTTGGAAGCATTCCTATAAGAATTTTTAAAAAAATTACATTTTTTATATATGATCTTTTTTGCATTGTTACAATCATTATTTCTTTCCAGTGGTAGCTCATACTTATTATGTGAGGTTGCTGAGTAACAACTACTACTTTACATAATAAACTACATACATATATAGTTTGTTATGTAAAGTAAAAGGAATTTATTTTAATTAAATTGTATGTTTTATATAAAATATATTTAAAAGCTATATTTTAAGAGTCCAACAAACAACACCTTCAAATAGCAAGATATGCTTGGATTTAATGTTTTTAGTCTCATTTGTAAAGATCTTATTTCTTTGAATTTTAATTATACAGCATTGTAGATAGCATTAATAATTGTAGATTATAGGTGAGTGGAATCTTAATTTTACAGTATGCATATATATATATGCATTTAATGCATCTACACTCTTCAAAAGTGAAATTGCAACATCATGAAGGAATGTGCATAGCCACATGCAAATTGCACAAATGGTAGAGGTGACAGAGATATGCAAATGATTAAGTTGAGTATGCATTGAATCATGTGATATCCAGTTTTGGGCTATAAAGACCAGCAGCCTGTTGGGCTGCAAATGCTGTTACTGATAGTTTGTGGCAGCCAAACTTTTGAAGAAGCATACAAAATGCCACCAAATGGAGACTACAGTGAGCTGAATACCACCAGTTAATGGTTGAGAAATACGATAATATCCTGGAGCTGCATGACCTCAGTTTGTTGTTGCGTATAGTGTGTTGGGCTTGACATGAGTCCAGTGATGTGTGACCTGATGGATGCAGGAACATCTGTGAACACATCAAAGAAGGAGTGGATTGCAGTGGCACATAACAGACCAGGAGATTTGCTGAAACAGCCCCTTCTGGATCCATTTGCCACAGCATGTAACATCTGATGCTGCCTCTCACTATCAATGGGTGCATCTGTGCCCACCCAAACTATTCACAGCAGATTGCATGAAATTGGGCTGCACACAAGACAACCAGCAATGGGGTTGCCATAACCACTTGACACAAGACTGCACAAATGGTGTGAAGTTGTTGTCATCACAACTGCACCACTAAATGGCATTGGATATTGTTAATGGAAGAATCCTGCTTCTGTCTGTGGAGGAATGATAGCTGTGGACGGGTGTGGTGGTATCCCAGAGAACATTGTGTCAGCCCTCTTCACTGAGCATCACACTGGCCTCATACTGGGCATCGTGGTTTGGGGAGACATCATATTTGGTCAGCAGACAGCTTTGGTGCACATTTTTGGTACTCTGATAGTGGACCATTACATCACACAAATTTTGGGATCTGTGGTTCAGTCACTAGTGCAGGCCGTATCTGACATGGTGTTTTAGCAAGACAGTGCCTGACTGCACATTGTACAGTGAACTAGTGACAAATTACTTTATATCAATCATTTAATTAGCCAAATATTTAAGGTGATCATTGGTTATTTCTGAACTCTCACCAGCCTGAATGGAATTCACATTCTTTCCTGGTTGGCAGCCTGGCCAGCTCTCTCTTCCGTCAAATATCCTTGGGATCTCATCTGACATGAGGTGCACTGGAGATCACTGCCACATACCATAGACGACATGCATGCCATAGCGGACCAGCTTGGCAAGGGATGCCTCAGATAATCATTAATTGCCTTATTGATAGTTTTCCTTACCTTATAGCAGCCTGTATAGATGCCTGTGGAGGCCATATTCATTACTGAGTAAACAGATGTCTGTCACATATCTTTGTTTGTTCTTTTAATCATTTGCATATTTCTTTCATCTCTACTGGTTCTGCAACATGCATATGGCTATGTATACATTCCTTTGTCATATTGCAATTTCACTTTTGAGGAGTGTGTTTTAAGAATGCATTATATTAATTATATATAAATATATATGTTATATAATTCTTTTAATATTTTTAAAATTTATCATTTTTGCCCTGATCCAATAACTAATTTCTACCACATGCCCACCTAAACAACATTGCTAATGGTGCAATGCCATTTCAAGCATTACATCATATTGAGACACTGGTTGACTGAGCAGGAGTCATCTCTGAGTGGGAGATGGTCTTGGAAGACTCCTATTACTGCACTGTTTAAGTGCTGTAATAGGAGTGTGTATGACACAAAACTGTCTTAATAGAATTGTTTTTATTTATATACTGTTTTGATCATTGCTAGTTTTGATTAATAAAAATCAAAACATTATTTGGGATTATATTTTTCTTTCGGGGTGCTATAGTTCCAAGGGCTTATTACTACCTATTGTTCCCTTCTTTTATATATAAAACAGCTTTTGCACTTCAAAATTAATTATTCAGCATTGTAATTCATATTTGTCCTATGAGAATCTCCATGGCCCTCACTATTTATGTAACAGTTCCAGACATAGTAGCAGACTTTTCCTGGGCCAATCTCATTCTTGCCATGCCTCTCACTGAACAACTCAAATGGTTAGAGGCTATGCACATGGTTAGAGGCTATGCACATGGTTAGAGGCTATAGAGATTTTTAAATCTAGCCTCACAGCTATGTGTATAAATTTTAAAGAGGAGATGGTTTTGTCATTGGCCTGTCAAGAGTTGATTCACAACTCACTCTAGCTGCTAGTTGTGTCCAGGCAGTTCGATTTGTTGCACAAGCGCAACATGGCTTTTAGTAAACTTTTCAAACTTATAATCAAACTCTTATTTAAATGTTATTCCATAAATTAATAACCATCTAGGAATGGTTAAGAACCTGAAACAGAACCCAGAAGGGATTTGAAAACGTTCATTTTTTTTTCATTTGTTCATTATTACACCAAAATTGGTTCCAAGTGCGTCATTATCATTAATCTGGTGTAGTGAGTAGTTATTTTTCATTTTACTTTTCAAACTTGTTTTTAATGTGATTTCAAGACAAATAATTCTTTGCTAGTAGAAGTTAACTGGTTTTTAATGTATATAAAGACACTGAAAAGATTTTTGTAATTAATAAATGTATGTAATGACAGTTTGTGACTTAGAGATAACTTACATGGAAGATTGCATGATAGTAGAACAGCATAATTAATTAAGATAGTAAATTGTATTTAGAAATAATTCTTAAAGTTATTTGACAGTCCAGAAATAATTAAGATATATGAAAAATAACAAAATATCACATTAGAACATATTATTCCCAAAAATCCAATATTAATATAGTTTGATGTTTAACAATTTCTAAATATTTTTCTTTTAAAATTTAAATTATTTATTTGCAGTTTATTTTAAAATTTTATTTAAATTTTGTAATTTTTTAATCATCATTAATGTATTTAATTGGTCTCTACTTGTTCTATTTCAGGAATTGTGAGAAAATAATTAATGATCAAGTTTATATGATGTCTGATAGAGATTAATGATGATTTTTCATCATGTATTTGTAAATTGTTAAAAAAAAAGCTACTGACTGATATTTTTAAATAAATATGGAAACACCAGATCAGTCATCTGGTGTTATATCTGGTACGACAATATCACAGTCTGGTGAAATTGTGTTAGCAAAGTTTGAAGCTTTAACTTCTCATACTGGTGATTCCACTTCGCAGTTATCAACTGAACAAATTGGGGAACAAGTTCTTGGCTACTTAGAAGTGCAGCCGTCCGAAGTGCAGTTGGTGCAGGACAGTAACACAATTTATCTTCAGCCACAAGAAATTGAAATTGATGGTGAACATCTAATTTTAACTCAAGGTGAAGAAGCAGGTGAAATAATTGTTGTAGTAAGTACTGATCAAGAACATTCTGCAGATCAAGCAGTTGCTGAATTAGCTCAAGGAACTGTTGTTAATGCAACAATGATGCATTCTGAGAGTGGAGACAATAAACCACGTATGTTTGTTGTAAATCAGTCAAATGCTCAGTTTGATGTTGTGAGTGATGATGGGAAGATGACTTCTGTGCGAACAAATGTAGAATCAGAACAGGCGGTTAAACCGGTTTCTGAACCACTTTTAATTCCTGTACAGAATAATCAAACAGAAAGTAATGAAAATAAAAATGTGGATAGTGATAATCAACAATTAGATAGTGCAAAAACTTCCAGTAATAAAATGGAAAGTGCTTCTGAATCCAAAGAAATTGCCAGTATACCAAAGATTGTTTTAAATTCAGAAGAAGAATTGAGAGACAGAAAATTGATGGAATTAGCATGTTTGGCACAAGAAATGCGCAAAGAGGAGACTTGTACAGATACTGAATCTGTTACAAAGAAAGAAGAAACTAAACAGGAAAATACAACAGAAAATACAATTGAAAAACCATCAGAAAACATAGAAGACCAACAAAAAAATTCTAAAAATTATGAGTCAACAAGTAAAACTGATGTTTCGGAAACAGATGATAATGTTGAAAGTACCTCAAAAGATGTTTTAAAAAGTAATCCATGTATATCTAATTTTCCTGAAACAAATGTTGAAATTACAGATATTTCTGAATCATCTAATGCTGAAATGTCAACTACAATTAATACAAATCAAAATTTGGGACCTGAAATAGAAGAAACAGAAAATGTAAGAGATTTACAACAAGATAATTTACCTCTTGATGAATTTAGTCAAATATCTCAGAATGATCAGTCGGTTCCAAATGAAGCTTCTCTTATAAATGCAACTGAAAATACATCATTGATGGTTCCAGATAAATCAACAGAACAAAATCCAATTTCTCCTGACACAACAATATATTCCCAAGACACTCATCAAATTGCAAATATAGAATCACAATATGGTGAGAGTCAATGTATTAATGTGTCAGATTCTGTAGAAAACAATGAAGTTAAAAGTCCATTAATAGAAACAAATAATGAGGAAAAAGATTCAGTCAGTTCTTCTCAAGATAAGAATGAAAATACTGCAGGCGAATTTCAGGAAACAAGCAAAAGTGATTTAAGTTCCGCTAGTGTGTCACAAGAAGAAAAATCAGAAAATTATTTATCCGAAAATAAAGAAAAACTGTCAGAGTCAGAAGAAACTAAGGTTTTACAGAATAATTCTAATGTTAATCCTATTAATGAATTAACTGAAATAAATCAGACTGAAACTAAGTTAGAAACAGTAAGTGGATTAGTAAATACAGACAACAGTCAAATCAAATTAAATGAATTTAACACTGATTCAGTTAAAAATGATTCAATGAGTTCTACTGGTGAAAATTCTGCAGAAAAACCAAGTAATGAATGTAAAATTATTTCTTCTTCAGTAGACACAAACTCTCAGTCAAAAAATGACTCTAATATTATAGAGGAAACAATAAAGTGTGTTCAAGATGTTATAAACACTACTGAAAAAATTTTAAGAGTATCAGTTAATGATGTGAATAGAAATAAACCAGTAGAAGATACGGTAACTAAACCTCCTGAATCTAGTCAAATTGTTACAGGTGAAAGTTCTATTGACAATAGCTCTGATCAAGTAGTTCCACAAATAGAAGTAAATGAAATTACAGAGGGAGATACAGATACAACAAGTGAAAGTACTCAAGATAAAAACATATCCATTTCTGTTAAGTCAGATAATGTGGAAAATTTTAAGTCATCTGAAAATCAGTCTGATAAAGAAAGTATTATAAAATCAGATATAAAACAGCAACAGCAAAAGAATGAAGAAGTACTTAAAACCATTCCAGTTACTGAGAAAAGTAAAGCCTGTGATTCCAAGTCTGATAATGAAAATCAAATTGCATTACAACAAAACAAAATACAAACAAAGACTGATAAAGTCACTGATAGTGTTAAAGATAAAAGTCCTGTTTCTGTTGTATTACAATATGGCAATCAAGGAAAGAGCAGAGTTTCTAAATCACCTAAATCAGAACCTCAAAAGGAACAAAGCACTCTTACCACAAGATCTGCTGCAGCAAGGCAAAAACAAGGTCGCTATCCTGTTGTTATACACTTAAGAGATTCTATTGCAAAGAATCAACCTGAAAAAGTACAGAATAATGAAGGAGGTGATAAAATTAATAAACTTGCAAGTAAAGAAAGTGAAATAACTAAAATAGAAGAAAAGAAAATAATGTCACAAAACTTGTCTGAAAAAGTAACTACTAGAAGCAAAGAATTGGTTACAGAAAATGAAAAGGATACATTTAAAGAACAAACATTAAATGAAGAAAATAAAAATGAATGTGTTTCAGATAAGTTAAAAGTTACTAATATAAATGAAAAACTAAACAAAGAAAACGAAGCAAGGAGTGTTGTGTCAATGATACCAGAGCCACCAAAAATTATTGAAAGAGATGAAGAACTAGATGAAATTATAGATGAAGGGTTAAGAAGATGTGCTGAAATGAAACGATCATTAAAAGCAAATGCTGATGCAAAACAAAATTTGAATAATGTGGAAGAAAAGAAAGAGAAATGCGAAGAAAAGACCATTGAGAAAAATATAAAAGAAAATGATGAGTCATTGAGCAAAAATGAAAATGATTTAGATCACTTAAAAGCAGTAGATGATGACTCTAAACATAATGCAAAAAATGAATTAACTTTGCAAACTACTTTATCAGAAGCAGATGCTTCCTTTCAGTTGGTTTCAGAATCTTCAGATGAGAAAAGTGAGTGCTTAACACCTAAAATTCAAAAACAGTTTCAATTATTAATTTCTCCAGAAAAATCAGATGTTGAAGTTGATTTAACTTCCATAAAATCAAAAATTTCTCAAAAATTACAATATGACTCTGTATCTGAGCTAAATGAATGTCAGAATGATACTGATGTAATGAATGAAGAACAGTTGTCATCTGAATTAAAACAGAAAAAGTTAGATTCAGAAATTCAAACATCAGTGGATTCAACTAGAACTATTTTATCAAATGATAAATCACCTGAATTGGCATTAGACGACTCCACCTTAGAAACTCCTAAACGAAGAGGTCGTAAACGTAGAACAACTGCAGAGTCAAGTTCTGAAAAGAAAAAGAAAATGGATACTATGGATGATACAGAAACAACTGATAAGGAGCTGCAGGGAAGAAAATCATCACCTAGGAAGAAAGGTAGGAAAAGAAAGAGTGAACTTGAGTGTGAACAACAAAAACAACAGAAATTGGATTTTGATAAATTAACAGGAAAAAAGACAAATGTTAGTTTGGATAATAAACAAGCAAAATCTCCTGCTCAGAAAAGTTGGTTTTTGAGACCACGAGGTAGCTCATCCAAAGAATTACCAGTGAATTCTGTCAATGAAAAGACAGCTAATATATTAAATGTTAGTGACAATAATGAAAATAAACTTAATGAACAAATGGTATTAAATCAAACTCCCATTGTATATCACAATTCAGTAATTGATGATACACAAAATACGATTTCCTCTCCAGTGCCTCAAGATCAATTAAACGACGATAGTGATAAAAGTGAAATTTCAGAGGACCAAGTATCTCGACCAGTTCTCATGACTCGTAATGAATTTCTTAATTCTAGTTCATTATCATCTAAAAATAAAAGACAATACTCAAGAAAGCACATTAAATCAAAATCTGTGAATTTGAGTGTACAGAAAGCACAATCACCTCGAAAATATTCTCCAAAATCAAAGACAGACTCATCAATTACTCTTCAAAGAAAGAAACATGTAAGGTCTAAGACAGAATCATCATTGCAAATTCTTCCTGATTTGAAAGAATCTTGTGCATCTCCTGTGAAAGTGTGTGACTTTCGTATCAGATGTCAAACTCCTAGTACTCCGTCCGAAAAATCCCTGACTTATTCATGTGTCGGTTGCCGTTTCCAAACCTCTAGAGTTCAAAATTTAATTCATCATTATAGAGAGAAATGTCTCTACACTGGCCCAGATGCATTCCATTGGGATGTGGATCAGTTAGAAGGTGCAAGAAAAGAAGAATCTATGAAACCTAAAGAAAATACAGTTAATACTAAACATATTATTGATGCTACTAGTAAATCTGCTGTTACTTCTAGGATACAAAATGCAACAAAACAACGTCAAATTAAAAGGTAAGTTTTTTATTCTGTATATTATTAAAACTTACTTTATGAAACTACTAGAATATGACTAAGTTTTGATTATAAGGCTAACATATTGAAAGATTAAAAATTATTATTAGTCTATTTTGATACAAGATAACTTAAAAGTCATTTGACCACTATAAAGACTAAATTGTTGTCTTATTCAAATATTTTACAAAAATTGTTCAATATAAGATTCTTACATCAATTTTAAAAATACATTGTTCTGAATTTATTTTACAATTTATATTTATCTATGCCTAGAACACACAAAACAAAACATAGTTAACTTTGGGCCAGTTGCACAAGTAACTGTTTAAACTACAGAATGACTATCTGTGGAATTTAATCGGATGATGGAAGAGATACTGGACTTAATGGAAAAACAAAGATTAACAAAAAATGACGCAGAAACTTACAAACGTATCAATGACATTATAAAGGTAGAGATAAAAAAGGCCAAGGAGGAATGGATAAAGAGAAACTGCAAAGAAATTGAAAACCTCGAAAAAGAACAAGATGTTCCAGATGCATAAGAAAATCAAAGAAATGACGGGTTCATTCAAGTGTCATCGCTCTAATATACTAATGGATGCTAATAACAGTCCTATTATTGATGAAAATGAACTGAAAAACACGTGGAAACATTACGTTGAAAAACTTTTTGATGAGGAAAGACCAACACCCATAAATAAAGACCCAGTAGAAGGTCCTGAAATACTCGACGAAGAAGTAAAGCATGCCATTCTTATCGCAAAGAATAAGAAAACTCCCGGACCTGACCAAATCCCGACTGAAATTGTGAAATTGATCGAAGATGATAATATTAAACTAATTGCTAGATTATTCAATCGGATCTACAATACTGGCACAATACCAAAAGACTGGTTAAAATCAACCTTTGTAACAATCCCTAAAACAAGTCATCCTAAAAGTTGTAGCGACTACAGTCTCATTAGTCTCATGTGCCATGTTCTGAAGATATTTCTACATATTATACACGCCAGGATATATAAAAAATGTGAAATTGATCTTGAGGAAACTCAATTTGGATTCAGAAATGCTTTTGAAACAAGAGAAGCGTTGTTTAGTATCAACGTCCTTCTCCAGAGATGTCGTGAACAACAAAAAGACATATTTGCTTGTTTCATCGACTATGAAAAGGCTTTCGATAGTGTGAAACACTCCAAATTAATAGAGATCCTACACCAAGTTCAATTAGATGGCAAGGACATCAGAATAATTCAAAATTTATACTGGGGTCAAACAGCAGAAGTCAAGTTAGGAACAATGAAAACAGCAGAAATTGAAATACAGAGAGGAGTCCGGCAGGGCTGCATTCTTTCGCCTTATTGTTTAATCTGTACTCAGACAAAATCTTCAAAAATGCCTTAGAAAACTCAAATTATGGGATTAAAATCAACGGCATAATTCTTAACGTCATTAGATATGCTGATGATACACTAATCATATGCGACAGCCTAGAAGGCTTACAGGTACTACTAAACAAAATTAACTCAGCAGGAATTGATGCTGGTCTCAAAATAAATGCAAACAAAACTAAATTTATGATTTTTAGTCAGACCCTACACAGAGAGGCACAACTTGTTCTTGACCAAAAAAAAATTGAACTGGTCAAACAGTTTAAATACTTGGGAAGCATAATTACAGAAAATATAGATTCAGGGAAAGAAATTAAATGCAGGATAGCAGCAGCTAGAACATCCTTCCAAAAAATGAAAACCCTGCTCTGCAACGACAATTTAAATTTGAAATTGCGGCAACGCATGGCCGAATGTTATATTTGGTCAGTTCTCCTCTATGGTGTGGAAAGCTGGACATTAAAAAGGAATACAGAAAGAAGACTGGAGGCATTTGAGATGTGGATTCACAGAAGGATGCTGAGAGTCCCATGGACGGATCAAGTGACCAACAACGAAATTCTAAGCAGAGCAAGAACAAACAGAAAATTGCTGTCAACAATCAAATGCAGAAAGATTGCATACTTGGGACATATCACTAGAGGAGAAAAATACAAAATCCCACAACTAATCCTCAATGGAAAGATTGAGGGAAAGCGTAAACGAGGCCGAAGACATCATGGATGGACAATACTAAAAAATGGACAGGCATACAAAACATTGGGGAGGTAATGAGAACGGCCGAAGATAGGAACTCCCTCTCCTTGGTGATCGCCAACGTCCGGGGGACTGGGCATGGCACGTGAAGAAGAAGGAATTTAATCTTACAACTAATGTAAAGAATAAGTTTCAGTTATTGCATTGACTTTGACTTGATAGTTATTGGCCAGTTAGCCAAAAAATTCTAACTGTGCAGTCATATTAACAAGATCCAAGTAGACAATATAGAGACACAAATGTAAAACAGTAAGGACATAGAGGTAAAAAGAATTAATATTTGAATACATATACAGTAGAACCTCGATTATCTGGACCTCTATTATCTGGATTTTGGTTTATCCGGATTGTTCAAAATAAACAAAAATTTTACGAATTTGCTGATTTGCACTTGACGAATTACGATACTGTTTATGTACGTGATGGAATGCATAACTTTTTTTGTTTCAACATCATCTCACCTGGCACAGTGGCCATAAACTCTTAAATATATTTTGCTTCATAATAAAAATATAACTTGACATACATATTTATAAATAATTTTATTTTCAAAATACATCATTTCTATGACCAAGGGTGGTGGCCCTTGGTCATAGAAATGATGGCATGGCAATGGGCAACATGGGCCACCGCCTATGCCTTGCGTTTCAAAGGTTTATGCGTTACTTAAAAGCCACGAATGCAACGAAAAATTTTATTTGTCATAAAACGTTAAATAGTTTGTCAAATTTTTATTTCATAAAAATACAGTTTCAACTGCTTTTTATTTTATAAAATTTGCCTTCTTGCTCCACCAGAGAGCCTTTTAAACAATAGGTAGTCTGTTAGCATTGGTTAGTAGTAGTCCAAATTCAATACAAACGTTTGTTTCTTGAAAATTTGATCACGATTTAAATACAGTATTTACTTTTAATATTACTGATATGTCATCAAAAAGAAAACGTGTTGTATTATCATTAAAAGACAAAGTATTTAAGATAAACGACTTCCAACAACTTAACACTGCGTTGAATAATAACAATCCACAAAAAACCTTTTTACGAGTGTTATGTCACTAGTAAATTCCACAAGTACTTTCGACCTCCACCGAGGTCTGCTTCAGGTGGTGACTGGCCGTGTTTCGACCCGACCGTTGTAATGATGTTGCCAACGATGTAAATAAAAGCTTTATGAATCTCCCAGGCCTCCAGGTGACGGATGTGATCCGCGCGGAACGCTTGTCTGATAAGTCTGGTGTTCCGGAAGTCCGCCCTTATTTCAGGGTCAGTGACGTAGGTCGATAAGGCGGTGGTGTGTCTTTTATGTTTAATATCAGCTTGGTGTTCACATATTCGTTTCTGTGTTGACCGGATGGTGGAACCAATATAAACTAAGTCCCTATTGAATCTGTCATCCTGGATGGGAATGGAGTAAACACCTGGGGCCCTGGTGAGATCCATCGCATCCTTGGCGTTGCTTTACTTGTGGAACTTGTGGAATTTACTAGTGACATAACACTTGTAAAAAGGTTTTTCGTGGATTGTTATTAGACAAAGTATTTGTTTCGATTATCCGAATTTTTCCTTATCCGGCTACCTTCATCCCTAATTAGTCCGGATAATCGAGGTTCTACTGTATTTATTTTAAACTAAAATTATGACATTTGAAGAATAGTTGTTATTACTGACTTACATAGTGATGGAAATTAAAATACCTGAACAAATCTAAGAATATATTGGACTTTGGAACACACCTATTTTTCTTGGTGGTAATTTCTAACAGCGTGTCTCATAAATTTATACACTATTATGTGTAAAAGAGCTCATTAAACATTTATTCTCAAATAATAATGTGCTAAAATGTTTCTTATTGTCAATACTAAGATTTTGGAATTTAACATAAATTGCTTTTATTAAATTAATTTAGATCAATCACATCATTAATTATAATCATTCATTATGCCTGATGAACTGACAAAACAGTAAGGCAAATAACAGATTTTCATATATCTACTATATCAGGTGGCAAACTGTGACACATAATGTATCATATGATTTCCATTTATCATTTGTCTTTTTCAATCATCCTTTCAGTTATTATCTGATCATTCTTTTTTCAATCATCATTTTTACATTCATTCTAATTAAAGCATATTTGTTTAATTTCTTTAAATATCGTTATTCGAAGTCTAAAACTTCTGCAAGCATAAACATCTTTAAAGTAAAGTATACTTACTATAATGCACATTTTCCGAACACTTTTTCTTTATATAGGCTGGTATACACGGTAAGGAAATCCTCAAAGGATGTGCTTAACAGACGAAAAAAACTCGGATATAACTGGCTGGATCGAACGTAGTAATTTACAAAACTTATTAAAATATCTCCCAACGTATAAAGAATTATTTTTATTTAAAAATGGATAGATAGAAAAAAAATCACGGTTAATCCTCAAAGGATTTCCCTACTGTGTATACCAGTACCTTAAGAACATTTTTCGCTTTTCGAACTCTTTGGAAACACACTATACGATCCTAATTTAATCTTTAAGGATTTGCAGTATACTTTAAAAATTATTTATAAATTTTTGATAAATAATTCGGATTATTTTTAAAGAAAGGTTTACAAATGTATACTTTAAAATTATTATTTGCCAATGATTCTTTACTTTAATAACTATATACCCATTTCCTGAAATATCCGGCAGCAAATATCTGAAAACGAGAAATTTATAATGTTTTCGTCCGTTGTTAATTTTATTTTTAAAATGAGTCAGATTGGTTGACATTTTATAGAACCGTTTTTCGCTTTACGTAAATGAAACATAACGTTAATGTAGGAATGGTCAAGAAGTAAGTTCCGTGACTGCACG